GTTAGTTAGAAGATGAACCCGTCGTAACCTACAGGCTATCATTCTCTTCAGTTTTTGCCTGGGTTCTCTTTGAGCTGAACATAGATATGTTTCAGATATTATGCTTACTTACAATGTGATTTCACAAAATTCAGGATCATGTTTTTTCCCTTGACAACCGAACGTGCACCCAAGTGATCTATGACAATTACCTACTGTCCTATAGTCATGATATATCGGAAGCTTTAACGTCGAACATCTGGGCGAAGTCTAGATGCGACTGTAAGTCAACCATCTCTTTCTTACTCACTGATCTTCTGTAACTGTAATTGTATTTCTTAGCTTGCCTCACAATCAGCTGGAATCTCACTGCGAATGATTCTAGAGTCGAATTTGTTAATCGCACAGTGCAATTTCAGGTTGCTTTTTACATATGGTCTTCTTTTGAGAACGTTGGATAACATGCTGAACTTTTATTAAGGAAAAACTTTTTATCTGGCGAGACTGTGTGGTGAATGTTACAAATGAAGATGTTGAACTATATGGGAATAACTCGATTTGTTCTTATTGCAAACATCAATTCAACGATCTCTTCGCTTTCTACTGGAATATCTACGTAGAACCCGGCATAGAGTTTTGTGTAGATGTAGAGACCACTGTAAGTTCGTCGCCTTCATTTTATATAAAGGAATTTCTTTTAAAAGGTATCCCAAAAATGTAGTTTTCCAGATGAACGATACTGTTCATATCTGGAACGACGTATGGGAATGTGTGGAGAAAAAGGACAGAAAGAGGGATACTGCAGCAGTGCTTGTGACAATGGCTGCACTTTTTACGATAACTGTGATTTTTTATGCAAGCAGTTATATTCAGGGAGGTGGAGATGCAAGGATACTGGTTAGATGTGAGTGTCATTTTAAACAGCCTTCCTGTTTTTACCCTAAAAATGTCACTTCAACTCTCTCTTCATCCATGATCAATGGAAATCGAATGAATACATTGAGTGCAAAAACTCCTGCAAATATAGTCAAGAATTTCGGTAGACCTTGCACTTGTATGGACTTAAAATGTGTTCCCATAGAGGATGTTAAAAGGACAAGAAA